TAAATTTCTCTTTATAAAGTTTGAGAATGTAGTTACTTATTATAATTATTTTCTTATGTTTAGAAAAAGACAATATTAATGATGCATTGGTTACATTTTGCAATAAAAAACATAATTGATTAAATGTAATGGTAAATACACATTATTAAACATGAAAATAAATTTTATAAAATATGAACCAATGACAACTATGCAAAATTTAATGTAATTGGTTGAGATATGGATTTTATGTACAACTAATAATAGTGAATATATTGTAGTTGAACTGTTAGAAATGTAACATTTCAATATAATACCGAATTTATTTCTAAATATTTAAATATTTAAATATTTAAATATTAAGGGAATGTTGATAATGTAGGATTAAAAAAAGATAACAATGGGATATTAAGTAAATATTAACAATTTCTTATAATACCATTTTTTCAACTTTTTATAATTTCAATAATAACTATCACTTTCCACATATTCAAGTTCTTATTTATAAAGTTTTACGGGTAATAATTATAAAGTTATGAAAATTTGTCAAGAAGAGTTGCTCTTTATAAAAGACATATAAGGATTGATTATATGTATGTTTTATATAGTAATTATGAAGAATCTTTAGAGTATTTATACTTCTAATGCTCTGCTATTATAAAGCAAGGTGTGTAGTTGTTTCTCTGATAAACTTCATTATATTTTATTATTTTAAAATACAATAATAAAATATTTAATTGTATATGCTATTCAATCTCATTATATTTTATTATTTATTGTTTTGCTTTATTGGAATATTTGAAAAGTAACGTATGCAACTACCTTCTTTGATAAACCTTTTGAACCTTATCTTATTGTTGGGATTATTAATACTTAAAGTAATTGATTTTTCTCGAATTATCATAGAAGAAAACTCTTTTACTAATATGATTATTGTTATATTAAATCGAAGAACTCGTATATGCATGTATAATTTATACACAAGAACTAAAAACTACCTTTAATTCAAAAGCTTAAGCTATTAGATTGTGGACCAATAATTGTATATAAATTATTTATACCTCTCATTTTTTTCTAATTTGTGAATATATTTCATACACTCATATGTGTATCTCATATAAGTTACTTGTACTTTTTGAATGAAAATTATTTTCATATTGCCAAGCTTTATGTGCATCAACAAAGAATATTTTACTATAAGACAGTTAATTATAAGAATACATTCATATGAGTTGAGTTATCATTGGAAATTTCCTACTAGTAAAGCCATGAAAGTTACTATGTGCATTGGTTAATATTTATATTTAACTGAACTTTCAATTCTAATACTATTGTATATCAAAAGTCGCCAAAAATAGGGAGCTTGTACACATGCATATGATTAGAACACAAGAGTTGGACACCACTTTTAATCTAAAAGCTTAAATCACTTTTAACTTAAAAGATTAAATTATTATATTTTAAATCAATCTTTGTATATAAGTCACTGACACCTCTCATTTCTTTCTAATATGGGACTGCATTTCATACACTCACATGTGCATCATGACAACTATTTCCTATTCTCTATCCCCATTTATTTCTTATGAAAAGATTTCATTACCACAAGCTTATTTGATAAATTTTAATAGAACTTTTATTAGTCAATTTGCCAGAATAGGTTATGTTCTTTGTAATTAGTAGGGTGAATTCATTATTACTTAAGTTATAAACATCTAAGTGATCACGGGCCAAGTACTTATGGCCCGTGGTCGCAGCACATCAAACATCCAAACATCACATGTAAAGGAGGAATTGATCCAATCAATTAATTGCTGTAAAGCCCATTCAACGGCCCATTTAAAA